CTTAATTCTCATCTAAAGAACTGTGAGCAAAAATATATACCTATACACTTTATGCTGTGCAAAAGAGTACAAAAGATGCGGAAACTAGTGGAGATTATACAATCGATTGGATAAATTGTTATGTATAACAAACACATTTTCTCTTAAATTTAAAAAAATTGTGACTTTTGTAATGCTTACAATAAATAGTGTTATTACTAAGGCATTCGATAATTTACAAATTTGATTAATTTATGTAAACGATAGTTTGATCGTAGTTTATTTTTATAGTATACTATCTCGTTTATTTCCAGTGAATTTACATTATTGAATTCTGTTTTTCATGTTACAATTATGAAACAGGATTTTAAAGATTTGCTTAATATTTTTTCGTCGCTATTTCTTCTCTTATTTAGATCCTACGACGATTTGTAATTTGAAATAATTGAACTATTTATAGCACTATTATAAACTAATTTTTTTTTAAATCATTGAAATTTTTTCGTCTATCTTTCTCATGTAGTGGGCTTCTACAATACATATATGTAGTGTCTAGTATTATAATGCATCTTTATATTGCGGCAAAATAATACAGTAAAAATTTGGTGAGGGTTGGATAAGAAGTTCCTCGTGAGAGTTTCTATTTCATCCCCACCACTGGGGAGGGGAGGTCGCGGAACTTACCAATCGTATAACTTATTGCCCCCCCTCCATTTTTGTTGTCAAAGAACAAGCTTCGAACAAACAATAGATTCGTGAGGTATCGAAACGATTCGTGGTGCACCATAAAAGTTTTGAAACGGACCCAACTTTCAAACTCTCACGGAGTGTTTACTGCATATAAGTTATTTTATTTACGTTTTTCAATAAAAACAAATACCCAAAGCAAACATTGTTTTGCCAGCATTTATAGTCTTTCTTATACACTTTCATAAGCAATAACTAAATGACTATGTGTAAACATCGCTTTACTTCACTGCTTGGGACTTAATGAGTTAACAAAGGTAAGGCCAAAATCCTTTTGCCATGCATAGATCCAGACCATTTCTCGAACGTCGTTCCATCGTTCACCGTTCAGAGTCACCCCCGCGTTTTCAGCCGTTTCACTCGGAAGCATGCTCAGCCGTCGAGGAATCGCCGATAGAATGTCCCATGGGGTCCCGTGTGATCCGGGGTACACAGGGAACTAGGCCGAGGAGCGAGGCGGGGTGGTGAGGAGGCGATCTATCGGGCGTAGCGGAACGTGTACACGGGGTACACACGGCGAGCCCAGTTTTCTCCTGTCCGCTCGGACGTTTTGTCGTGTGTATATGTGTGTGTGTATGTGTGTTTGTGTGTACGGTACCGAAGGCATTGTGTGCTCACTGTACGGAGCTGTTGCTTGATTAACCGCCGTAGAACGCCGCATGTACACACACGGCCGAGCGGGCAACTCGGCTCTCTCGTATTATTTACGGCTAATGGCTCAAAACGCGGAAGACCGCTGGCTCTGCCGCCACTGCGAGAGGAACGTGAGCCCCCTCGCCCGGATCCCTGTGAGCGGGCAAGATTTTCCCGAGTCTCTTCTGGTCGCGATCGAAGAACGTCTTTATAATCTGGAACGAATATTATCGATAAGCAGAACGAGGTTCGTTGTCAAAGACGCTATTTGACGAATGGAATGGACGTGTGCGCAAAATCACAATTCATGTAAGTTCTTTTTTTAGAAAATTTGAGTCTACGAAGTGAAGTTCTTAGTGAAAGGTTCTATAAGGTTAACCCCTTGCCTTATAAAAATGAGTCAAACTGATCGTGACGATTTTATGTTCGGATTTTGTAAAGATCGGTATTATCCATTTTTTTCAAGTTGAAGTTAAGTGCTACTTTTGTGATTGTTATGGTTCATTTTTAGAACAATTGTACACTCACGACAAGCTTGCAATTGATTTTGCTTCTGGAAAATGATTAATAGTAACTTCAGCGTGCGAAGTCGTCGAGAAGATCGTAAGGCACGGGGTTAACAGTAATGTAAAAAGCTAGGTGTTAACATTTGGGCGTACCATAAATGCATTAAATAGTTGAGAAAACTACTGTAAGTTAATCAGTTGATCGCAGATATTTACGCAAATTCGTGCTCTTATATATCCTCTTAAAAAAACAAGAATTGTACAGAAATTTGTGTTTCTGTATAATTACATACTCTATAAATGCATAAAGAAAATTGATAAAAATATACAAGTAAAATGATTCAAAAGATACATACACAACAGACTTTTGATTTTTCGTACATGTAACTTTATAAATGCATAAAGCAATTTGATAGAAAGTGGTGAAAGTATATTAAGTAAATGATTCAAGAGATACATAATAGAAATTTCATTGTTCTTACATTATTTCCCTTCACATAATCTCGTCGTATCGATAACAAAGTGACTAATCTTTTGTGTGTTTAGTCCGTACATCGTACGGGCAACGTGAAAAGTGTCATAGCCTTTAATCCACACAATGTACGGATAACAGATTATTTTAGAAGAGTTTCTGATACATTAATTATAACATAACGAATATACATATTAGAGGTCTGGAAACGATAGCATTCTTAGTTCATTGCATTTTGCTTATGCACTCGGTATGTCTTTGACCATCAAACGAATTGAAAGCGTAGTTTCGAAAAAAAAGAAATTAACACAGCATACAAAACAAACGTAACAACACTATTATCTAGTATTGAATACGATGGTTGCTTTAAAAGTTTAAAGTGTATCGTATAGGGAGCATTTATTCAATATTAGGTGAGAAAAAATTAAAACATACGCGTAAAACGTATATTTCCATATTATTTACAACAGTTACAAGCCATTCAAATCATAAAAAAAGTGGACATTTGTTTACCACGTTTAGTTATTCCAGTGAGCATTCAAATGGTGAATTTTCATAAAAGTAATATTAGTACGCGTGGAGAAGACACTGCTTCGGTGACTTGAACGCGTGGTAGAGATATACCATCCTCCTTTAAAGTTTCGTCAAAGCCAACATGAGACATTTCTCACTTATTCGTTGTTAAATTATTCAAACTAATCCTGCTCGAGTAGAGCAAACTTCCTCCCGCAAACATTTCCCATAAAATCAAGTTTTACCATACCCTGCTCCCCCACCCTCCACGAAGTTTCGATACAGTGCATCAACCCGATCCATCACTCGTCACGTTGTTATCGTTGAAAGCGCGTTTCGCTTCCCCCGACAGTTCATCGCGTTGGAAATCTTCCAGTTCTCGGTTTTCAGCATCGTTCACGGCTAGCCCCGGTTGTATTTCAGCCGCGGTCTCGATTTTTGCGCGAAAACATTGACACCAGTGGAAACCGTCGCGTTGCACGCGTCGCGAATTTTCGCAGTCCCGGCGCGAAATTGATCCCCTGAGAGCGCCGTCGCCTTTCTGGAATTACTCGACTGCTCGGAGGAAATTGGGTGAGCGAATCCACGGGGCACCCCCGCGCGCGCGCAAATCGTATTTCCAGCCGAGCTACGAGCGTAAAAGGATCTCGAGCGGATTACCGATCGGCTGTGTCGCCTGCTGGCGGTTGTAAGAAACCCACCCCAGAGCCCGCGACAAATTCAGCCCGCGTTCGCCTGGCGCTATTTCCGTTTCACGGAACCCGTCCGCCGGCGGTTGCTCGTGAAATATACTCGGCTATTGATGCCGTTTTAGGGGGAGACGAAGGAGGGAAAGATCGCGTGAAAAGAAGTCGAACCGCGGTTTCAAGGCTTGGGTAACTTTATTGTGTCGAATACCACGGTTTCGCCTTGGAGAATTATACGTTCGTTTTTGCGAATTTATACTCCCGCCCATAATACATTTGTGCTACTAAACAGCGAATAAGAAAGAAATGAGAAAGATACGAATTGACCAGGGACATCAAGGATTGCTTGAATAAAACAGAAGAGATCGTAAAAGTTTTATCGTTCATCAACGACGCAGGTCTAAACAGAACCCTGTTATCAACTACGATCAATTGTATTGCTTTACAGCATTAGCATTCCTATAAAAGTAGATTCGTAAGATAGACTGTGTATTACATTAGGAAACTGTAATTATCGCGCAACTCATGTAAACAATTGGCAAATGTAGTCGCTAATTATCCTTGGTTGATGCGACGATAAATAAAGAAATTAAAAAAAAAACGAAAGAAAGAACTGCCAGCGGATAATAAAACTTACTATTACAGGTACGAGTTACGCTTGAATTATTAATTTTAGGTGCTGACATGGATAGAATAATTTTGGCATTGTGAAAGTAAATATATATTGCATTTTTTATGGTACGGTTTTGTCATTCGAATATCTAGCCTTTAAAAGTATCCAACTATATTATATGTATTAATTTTAGAACAGAAGTTGTGATACTTCGGTAGAAATACATTACCCAGGAATTGAATTTTATTTTAACAAATGTCTATAGAATATTATTACGTTTTGTAAAAAGTAACAGAATATCTGCAGTAATCTATTACGTGTACCAATAAATTATCCACCATGTTTCGTTGAGTTTAATATTTATTTCATAGAAAATCATTGTCCAGTAACATCCGCCATTTTACAAGAAGAAGTGACTCTGAAAATCTATTGAATTTGAATCATGTTACTAGTTTATTAGGAAAAATAGTGTATTACACATTAGTATACCCATTCCTGATCCACCAAGACGGGGTAGTAAAAATAACTACAGCATTCGCGTGTTAAGCCCAGCTATTGGCTGGCAACTGTCTCTCTCCCTGTCTCACCTAAATGGTCGTCGCGTCCCTTTGTTTACAGTTACTGACTTGATTCGTTGGATGTGTTATAATAGTACACCACATTCTCATACCTGAAAAAAAAATATTTCTCTTATCTCCTACCATGCCACCTCCAATTCACAACACGTTCCAAATCACCCTCTGTTCTCCATCGAAAAGCACCAACCCAAACCCTCGCATATTATTACATCCAAAAATAGAAGCGTTACCACTGTATCCACTAATGTCTCGATAAATAAATCGATGTTCCAGGGTCTGGACAATGTGAGCTCGGCGACACTCAGGCCTTTCAACTCGGACATCAACACACCAAGGATCGACAGCTATAGGTTCTCCATGGCGAATCTCGAAGGTAAGCTATCTCTCTTCGCGCTGAACACCCTACCCACCCCGCAGGGGCCGATCGTTCGATCTAGCTGCAATTTCCGTAGCCGCATTGCGTTCCACCAACGAAGAAACACATTTCGCCCGGGCAAGAAAAGTCGAACGTCGTCCCCCTTTGTTCGTCCACCTCGACGTTCCCGTCTATCCATCCCTAGCGACGTAGCTCTGTATGTAGGCCAGTTTTTCCTATATACCTTTCCACCCTCGTTTAGTCCACGCGTCGTGAATAAGCAACGGGGGCCGGGACCACGTGGACAAAAGGGACGTTTCATCCGGCGAGATTGTGGCACATGTTTCTTCAGAATAGACTCGAAGGAGGATGTCGGGACGATGTATATTCTCATTGACGAAATTTTTCTCGAAGGTCGATCCTTCTTTCTGTTTTTTCTTTTTTTTTTTTACGTTTTCCTGGCCGGGAATCGCGCGTATACGCTCGGACATTCGCGATATCGAGCCGGCGACTAATGAGTTTTTCTGTGGACAGACGGGGGACGCCGGTAAAGAGCAATTTCCGGTGTTTTATTACACCCTGTAACGATTTCGTGGCGACAGCGAGAGCATACCAATCGGTCAGGAAACTCGTTTCGACTCGGACGATCGCCCTAGCAGACGACGCTCGTTCGCGGCTGTAAATCACGATTATCGGTAAACTTGAGCCCGAAATGGTCATTTCGTGAGGATTTAATAATTCCAGAACGTCGACCAGATGCGTCGTTCAGGAATATTGAACGTCGTTAGCGATTGCCCCGAGGGATTTAGCGATCGATTTTTTCAAACTGGAAATATTTAAAGTGTTATCTGTGAATATTTTTGGCCTTGTACTGAGTAATGTAACCACACCGTGGTAAAAAGTGTTTAATGGAGGATTAACTTGATTTTAGTAGATCTTATTTAGTTTTGTTTTATGGGGGTAGCTTACTATTATACATATTTGAAAAAAATAGAACATATGAATCGAATGTTAAGAAGATGGTTAATATACTTAGAAACATAGAATCTTTCGTTGCGAAAACAGTTCAAGACAGTTTCTCAGGTACGGAAGAGAGTTAAATTATTCTATATCGGATAGCAAAATGATTGATTGTTATCGCATAGTATTGAAAGTATTTTTGGTTGTCATAATGGATATATTAAATGTACACACATTACTAAAAGTGATCGGGAAATTTTATTCTGTTACTCAAAATAATCGGATAATTTTTGTAACTGCAATCCTTTAATTTATTCCATATTTATGGTGAGAAATGTTCATTATAAAATTAACGTGTTCTATTACTAGTTTTATCATCATTATTTGCAGGGATACCGATAATTTACATTGCAAATCTGCAACTTTAGATTTACCTACTGCAACCACGAATTAAACAGAAACATAATTGGCTTACTAACACTTTGGTTAGAAATGAAATGAACATCTCGTTGTATCTTCAGTACGTATAATATTTCGTTGCATTTTGCTGACAATCGGTATAAAACGTATAATATTTAAATTATAAAAATAGGAACAAGTTATTGTGGACGGTGAAGTCAATTTGAGTCTGAACAGATTGAACTTTAATTCTAGTTTATCTTGATTCCCTCATCCATACAAGCTCTAAACGAGTATAATCCACAGTGAGCTCAAACGGACTATATCAAAATTACCAGTCCACTCATTGTTCAAGCTTCAACGCTTCCCGTGTTTCGTATTGTTATGTTTAATGTTTAGAACAATTGTACACTTACGACAAGTTTGCAATTGATTTTGCTTCTGGTAAATGATTAATAGTAACTTCAGCGTGCGAAGTCGTCGAGAAGATCGTAAGGCACGGGGTTAACAGTAAGGTAAAAAGCTAGATGTTAACATTTGGGCGTACCATAAATGCATAAAATAGTTGAGAAAATTACTGTAAGTTAATCAGTTGATCGCAGATGTTTACACAAATTCGTGCTCTTATACATCACCTTAAAAAACAAGAATTGTACAGAAATTTGTGTTTCTATATAATTACATACTCTATAAATGCATAAAGAAAGTTGATAAAAATATACAAGTAAAATGATTCAAAAGATACACAACAGAATTTTGCTTTTTCGTACATGTAACTCTATAAATGCATAAAGCAATTTGGTAGAAAGTGGTAAAAGTATATTAAGTAAATGATTTAAGAGATACATAATAGAAATTGAGATTATTCTTACATTATTTCCCTCCACATAATTTCCTCGTCGTATTGATAACAAAGTGATTAATCTTTTGTATGTTTAATCCACACATTTGCTGACAATCGGTATAAAATGTATAATATTTAAATTATAAAAATAGGAACAAGTTATTGTGGACAGTAAAGTCAATTTGAGTCTGAACAGATTGAACTTTAATTCTAGTTTATCTTGATTCCATCATCCATACAAGCTCTAAACGAGTATAATCCACAGTGAGCTCAAACGGACTATATCAAAATTACCAGTCCACTCGTTATTGTTCAAGTTTCGACGCTTCCCCGTGTTTCGTATCGCCGGTCACGTTCACCCCACGTCGTCCCCTGCAGCGATTCTGCGGCAGCTGCAGTTGCAACTGCAGCATCGGGCCTTGCGCCTATAACACCGCCGACCTTATCTGACATCTTTTGAACTAGCTCCAGCCTCCTCCCCCGTGCCGGGGTTTCAAGCCTCGAGAAAAATCCTAGGCGCGTCCCGTACCCGGCGTCGGCTTTCACGTCGTATCAGCGGATTTATACACGACGACGATGCCGCATCGTCCGCCCTAACCGCACGTTGCACGCGCTCGATAATATCCCGCTCTGCGGTTTCACGATCCCTCTCCTTCGCGCCTGCTACGCCAGAGCCTCGCTCGCGGGTTCTCTTGTCTCGCAGAACCTACCTTTGCTCTTCTCAATCCCGCCATCTCGTTACTCGTGCCTGGAATTTCTTATTTGCCTTGTTCGTTTTCAATTACGCTTCCTTTTTCTCCACCCGCCGCCTAAGAGACGAATAAACCGGCGAATGTGTCCTTTCTGGCCCGCCATTTCGGGATGTTTGGAGCTATCAAAGTCTATCAGAGTCGCGTTTCGTGCGTGCCTGGGGTGGAGGACATGAAAGGTTCCTAAAAGGGTTTCTTTTCTCTTTGGTGATCGTTTGGGGAGGGTCGATCTGATGGTTTTACTTTGTTTTGATGTTTAATAGAGTGTTTATGTGTTGGACAGCTGACTATGCGACGGTAGGCTTAATGCAGGGTCCATTTTGACCATCATCGAAATTCGTATTATTTATATTTTAGAATGAATTTGTGGTGTTGTTTGTTATTTCATGTTATGTTCTTTCTTCAGTGCAAGTGTAGATTTGTGCATATACTTTCTGAAAACTTTTCAACGTGTAGTTACAATTGATAGATAAAAATTTTAATTTCACATTGTGGAAGTATCAGCATTCCAAACTAACTAAACTTTTACAAAATAATTGAGTAACTGATTATTTCAGATTTGCTTTTCATTGTGCGACCTCTCTGACTTAACAGTTAGGTGAAAATACAAACCTGATTATAGTGAGTAGTTCATCTGTATATCGTTCATATCAGTTTAAGACTTGATTATATGTACGTAGGAAGACGCGCCACTTTATTGGCTCAAGTATATCGATTTATTTCCTCGAAAAGTATGTAGAATTTAAATCTAGTTACGAATTAGGACTGTGAATAATCAATCTTAATAAAGTAATGTAAATAATAATTTATTGAAATTTGACGGTACATATGTAAATAACATCGAGATCACAATTTCAAGTGTAAAATGAATTAACTCATAGTATTCTCGATAATCTAATAATCGATGAAAGTGGTTAATTATGGAAAATTAAGAAAGGCTAGACAAAGTCAACGAGGGCAATTAAAAAAATTAACGTAATTTTATGACGCAATAGAAATTCGTTTAACGCCACTTTTACATAATTAGAAATCACGTTCATTAACATGCACTCCTGTTGAAGCCCAAGTCTCGATACAGTATCGCTATCATCATTACGGTAAAAGGTCTCTACTTTTAATCCTTTCGCTCGACCTCCTTCATGTTCTCCTCTCGTTCTTCAAGAACTTTACTTTTCGTGATAATTATCCTGGAAACTTTCGCTTGTTCTTTATTTTCTTCTTTGAAAGGAAAAAGACGATTTTATGGTTAATTGTAGGAGAGAACACTTAAACATAAAAGGTATAAAAGACGTTCAAGTATATGGTATTCAGTGATTTCTATTTTATATTCTTTCTTGCAATATTAAATTACACGAAAATATTTATACATACATGATTAAGGAACAAGCATCTGTCGTGAAAAAAAGTTTCTGATACAAAGTAGTCAATTGTATAATGCTGTTTTTGAGATGGGTTACATGATAATCAGTAATAATGAGAAAGGACTGAAATACAAAAAATAAGTCCCCATTACTTCGAACAACAATTGATCGAGAAATTTATACGTATCTGTATAATAAAAATACTTACGACTATATGTATAATCTTTGAACTTTCCATATTTCTTCGTTGTTTACCTTCGATCGTGTTGTTTCTCTTATCAGTATTCCCATTCCGATATAATCTCTTTAAAAATTCTTTTCTTCTCTCGTGAATTAATTTATAAACAATTATCAACCAACAATAAAACAGTAATATTACTGGCTCAATATTTATTCCTGTGGTACGTTTCTTCCAAAAAATGAACACTTTCGTCAAAGCTATGCTAGTATTATCCACGAAGACGTAATACTATTAGTACCTACCCATGCGAGAACTCGCAGATTACATATTCCTAAATCCTTGCGTACCAGAGATAATGGCGATTTGTTCGATATCGCTGGAGGCTGTACGATCGATACAGTAATGCCTCTGTGCTTTTTCATTGGAGTTGCCTACCTACGAAGCGTCAGATTTACGACACCGTAGCGGGGCGAATTATTATTTTAGCCAGCACGAGATAATAGTTCTCATGGGAGTGCCGTTAA